CCAGAATACTCATCAAGATAAACCATATTCTGGACCATAAAACAAATCTTAGTAAGTTAAAAAGGGTAGAAACCATTTGGAGTATGGACAACTTAGGACAAAACTATCAGTAAATGGAACTAGATTTGCGCTCAGGATTCTGGTAGCCAGAACATGTCATCTGCACAGGGGACATACTGCCAGCTTCTGGAAAGATGTTCTTTTTCCCCAGGGATCTGTTGGTCAAAGTATACAGAACTTGCTTGTTCCTATTTGATAAGTAGAAAGGAGAATGGGATTTTGCTCCCTCCTATACCCTGTATTTTTTATGATTTAAAGCCACCATACTTATTATTTAGAACAATTGCTAATGATCTGAAAGGGAGGAAACTTACAGGAATAGAAATGAACTAAAACAGTAGCAGCATAAAGATGGAGAGGAAAGATAGTTATACTAAGGTAGTAGAAGTAATAGGACGTGGTTATTGGGTGGAGCAAGAGGGATCATAGGCAAGATTATAGGTTTGTCATGAAGAAAGTGAGTTCATTGTGACAAAATATTTGTATCTAGTCTATATAAAGAACACTCACAACTCAATAATAAGAAAATAAACAACCAATTAAAAATGGGCGAAGTATTTTAACATACCTCCCAGTATAGAGTCAGTATTCACAGGAAGAAGCTAAATATCATTAGCCATCACAAAAGTATAATTTACAATAACAAGGAGATACTACTGTATTGTCAGTAGAAGTGCTAAAATAAAAAAATCTGGAGCAACTATTACTCTCATACATCCACAGTCAGAGTGTAAAATGATGCAAATACTTTGGACAATGGTTTTCACTTACCATTTGATCCAGAAATTACACTCCTGGGTATTCACTCAAGAGAAATAAAAATACATATCCACAATAAAACTTATACATCCATGTACATAGCAGATTTATTCATAATAGCTCCAAACTGGAAAAGCCAAATGTCCAAAGGTGACTGGATAAACAAATTTTGATATGTTAATACAACAGACTGTACCCAGCAATACCAAAGAAAAAGCTGTGGATATATCTAACAATATGAATGAATCTCAAAAACATTATGCTAAGCAAAGGAGTTCAGACACAAAAAAGGACATTTTAACATTTGAGTCTGAAGTAACTATAAGCACATCAGAGTGGACATATCAGGAAGCAACTAAAAATTAGGACTAGATATTAGAAGAGATCTCTTTTTCTATTGATATTTGAATATGTTTATTGTGACAGGAATGTTGTTAAAGACAAATAGTAGATGACATCACCAAAAGGGAATGAAAAGGATGGAAACAGCTAAAGCAGAATCTTGGGTAAATGTTAGCATTTTAGGGATACACAGAGAAAGGAAAATATGTGAAGAACACTGAGAAAGAGAAAAACAGGTAGGAGGAAGAGAACCAGAAGAAAGTGATATTTTGGAAAATAATTCTGGGAAAGGATATTCTGTGTCAAAGATCCTAGAAGGACGAAGAAAAGAAGGGTAAAGTGTTCTATGCCCTAGGCTACATATGGTCATTCGTGAGCATAAAGGCAATTTTAGAAGAGCAATGAGAACAAAAGTTCTATTGCAGTGGACCGATGAGTGGATGAGCAGACAGAGGACGGGGACAGAGAATGTACCCTACATCTACAAAAGTTTGTTTCATAAAGGAAAGAAGAAATAAAGAAATAGCCAAGTCTGTGTATTTCTATGAATTTCTATGAATATCTTCTTCCTACCTGATTATAAATTTGGGCTATTTAATAAATACCTTTCAGCAAATGGATTCTCAGTAAGAGGTTCATGATATCACCCATTACTTCTGATAAAGGAAAAGCTGACTTAGAGAAAAGCACATTTTATGAACTAGTTCATGTATTATATAAAAGCAAAGATCCAGATTGCAGTATAGAATTGAAATGTGTTTTTGCAAAGTCTTGTTTTTGCTCTATGTAGAAAACGAGGCTGGATTTCCCTGTTCTGGTTCACTTATATCTCATGCGATTGTGTCACCTTGTGTTTCTCCATTTAAAAATAAAAGGCAAACTCAGCAATTCCTTTTTTCTTAAACTGCTTCAGTAACCAGCAGTTGCCACATTAAAAGCTTTAGCTGGAAGATTATAAAAATAGTCTAATGCTTCCTAGCAGGTAACTACTTTTGAACCAATTCTCCTTTCAGGGGTATATTGAGGTCAAATCAAATGGCCCAGGAAGGACTGGCAAAGAGAGAGAAGAGAGAGCTGGTTGACATTCAAATGGCAAAAGTGCATTTTGTTTGGAATGTTTTGTGCAAATGTTAAACAGTGCCCACATTTAAACACCTGCTTCTTGTTTAGAAGAGTTCAGATGAACACTTTCAAACACAATTGAGTGACACTCAAAAGAAAATCAAGTGTTATTTCCTAAGTTGCTGAAGCAAGGGTTCTTCTGTGAAATCACTATTAGTATTTCTAAACTGAATTTGATTATATTTGAAACTTACTGCACACAGTTCACTGGTACCTGGAAATTTCTTCATGCAGAGATAAAATTACAAGAAAGACTTTTTAAAAAAAATGATTGTTTCTGTGTGTGTTTTAAAATACCCTAGGTCATATTTGTGATAAAACTTAATTACTAAAGATAAAATCTAATAATCTTTAATAATTTTTCATTTAATTATTCTCTTCCTTGTGAATAAATTTTGCTTTTCTTTTAAGACACATTAAAAAGTAGAGGAAAAGCACCATATAAAGACACCTACAAGACACCAACTGTATAGCTTATCTTGAAATTCTTCACTTGTCTGCTATCTCTAAATATTCACCAATTAGGGAAGAAATGTAATAGTGGGGTTTTCAGGTTTCTTTGATAAATTTCCTAAGAAGGTAACTCTTTTACTGTCTTTATTAAATACCAACTTCACATCACCATTGCTACTTTGAAACCTTCAGTCTCTCTCAACGACAGGATCAAATTTAAATGCTGTAATTTGAACTTTATACAAACTGTGCATTCTAGTTCTGTGGTTACTCATTGCCATGAGCTTTCCTGACTTGGTTTCGGTTATTTTTCCTACCAGGGACTTCTCAGTCTATTCTACTTATACAGATCTTTCCCATCTTACAGCATCAGCTTATTAATTTTCTTGACTCTTCCAACTTAACTCATACTTCATTTCTATGTCTTTGTTGTCATTTAATATCTGTACTCACACTCAGCCTTAATAATTTTCTTCCTATGACATCTCTTGTATTACTAGCTTCTAAGGTTAGATAGCAAATCCTGTGCATGCCTTGTCTTCCTTAATAGATTATTTTTTTAAATGCAAGAACTTACTGTTTTCTTAGCACCACCTAAAAGATTTGTTGACTAATGTATGAGAGGAAAAGAATTGCAACCTACTTGAATTATAGAAATGATTGTAATTACAATTTTGTTAGATACAGCATTAACCAAAAAAAAACCTCTATAGAAAAAATGTTTCTCATTAAGTAATTTTAAAGAAACTATTCAAACTAAAGTTTTAATAACTCTCCTTAACTGAACATATGTATATTTCCTCTAAAAGTCATACAGCATTTCTTTAAAATCTCACCTCTAGAACATCCCATTAAACGGCCTGGATTTAGTAATCTCTTCATCTCCAGGAATCCATCCTAAGGGAAAAAAGGGTAAATATTCAATTTTAACTTCACTTATTAGGTACATTATTTCATCAGTGTGAATGTTTACCAACTTTTGCATACATTAGTGTTAAAAAAAAATCAAAACGTTGAAAAGTTATTACAAAATTAGAACTGAAGAAAAAACACTATTACTAGTGTTGCTGAAAATAAACAATTTGTTTTATTTATTGTATAAGTTCATAATCTAGATTTACATAAAATAAATATATTTTGCCTATCTCCTCAACTCCAAGAAGAAACTAAGGATGAAGCCTGACTTTATGATGGTTGAGCAAGAATATCTGGCTTGTGAATCTGATTAAGTACCCATTCAATGCAAGATAATGAGGATGCAGTAAAAAAACTGACCTTCAAATGGAAAAAAATGAGGAAGCAAAAGAGCTACAGAACCCATACCAGAAATAAAACCAATGCAGGGTTCTGCTTCTCTTATGCTGAGTCCTAGAAAAGTCTTTGTAGGGTTGGAAATATAAACCAAACAAATGAATTTTCTCATATTCTCATAATGTCTGTCTGGAACAGCTACTGTGAATTTAGCTAAACTATTCTTGATTTGGTTTATATCTATCCCTTAAATTTTATTACAGACATTTGCAGGAGGTGGGGAAGGTTAATGCATTCCACAGAGTATTTCTCACTGTGCAAAACAATATATTCCTCTTAATGTTTTAAAACTACATCTTCAAACTTACCTGAAATGACCCCTAATTCTAGTGCTCAAGGATTAGGCACTGTGATATTACATACTACAAGATATATGATGTAATATAATGCCAGTTAATGCATAGTGCCATAAAGAAAAATAAAACAGGGTGAGTGGATGGTGAATGTCAAAGGTGAATGTCTAGAAAGAGTGGCAAGAAAGGCCTGCTTGGTGTGATGGGTTTTGAACAAACACCTTAACCACACAAATATCTGAGGAATAACATTCCAGGCAGAGGACTTAGAGCAAATCCCCTGGACAGGTGTGTGGATGGCAAGTTCAAGGAACAGCAAGAAGCAGGAGTTTAGAGAACAGCTGAGGCTGGAGGTAAGAAGATACCAGAAATGAAGGCAAAAACTTTGTCAGGGTCCATATCCCCAGGGCACCTGTAGACTTTGTTAGTGAGAGCAGGCCAACCCAGTCGTCGTTCAATAAATGCTCAAAAAATAAAACAAAGACTATTGTCCTAAGTGTCATGTAGAGAAATAGCTGTTGAAGAAGCAAGTGTCTCTTCCAGGAAGGAAGGAAGGAAAATTCCAGAGCCCGCTGGAGTCAGCATTTAAATTTCCAAAATCCCCTCCATCTAGTGAATGCAAATATAAATACATTTTTAAAATAATAGAACATAATTGTATAGAAACTGAAATATGACACTCTTTTTATTTAAAATAGAGCTCTATATGCTTCACAGAAACAAGTGCAAGGAGTGCTTAATTTATTATCTTTGCCATTTTACAAAATACATTTTTGGAAAATGCATACATAAAAATATAACATTTAGGCAGATAACTATTTACATCTGAAGGCAGCTAAAAGTTATGCAATAATATTAAAAAGCTTTAAAATAAATACTTTTATGACTTGTTGATAAAGTTAAACATTTTGGTATGAAGGCTATCACTGAGTTCTTACTAAATTCTAAAATAGTCTTATTTCTAAACAAAATAAGCATACATATATTACTATAAAATGCATATTTACACAGGCTAGAAATTAATAAAACATCTGGATATTATTCATTTCTTTTTGAAATTTGGAATTCTCTTCAGCTTCAATGATTAAATTGCAACTACTAAAATTTCCATCTGCATATCTTTTGATACAATTTATTGCCTAATTTTCATTTTAAGACCTAATCTATTTCTTCATATTTCCTATATACATTCATTTGTAACCTGTCTGTGGAAAGGTAATATCTTTTTACATTCTTAAGAATTTCAGCTACCTCATAATAAGTCTTTACAACAGTGATTCTTTTTCACAGTAGTTCAAGAGTTCAAGGCATGTTTTGCAATGTCAAAATGCAATGGTTTTGACATTTGTAATATGTTCTTAGGTATAAGAAAAGTCACACTACCAAAAGAAAAGTATAATTAGTATTAGTACTTTGAAAGTCAATCCAAATTTCCTTTTTTTGAGATCTGAATCATTTTCTGTTTTTAGGACATTTTGAAACCTGAAACACAGATGAAGTTTGAATAATTTTTTCCAGTCTAGGATCAGAAGACTACAAGAGCTTGACACTAGGCATTGTGGAAATGAAGTAGAATCTAATATTTTGGCTAAGATAAACTTACTTTATATAAAGAGAGAAAAAGAGTTGGATTTGTAAAAATGTTTACTTACTTGTATTTAGCCTGTTGGAGGAAATGGAGATATTGGTAAACCCCATTCTAATCCTGCATTAGATAGACAGAACTTGGGCATGTAATTACCTTTTTAAAGGCAAAGTTAATGAAAGGTTTGGGCATGGAATAAAAACTCAGTGGAGATATAGAAACTAAGGTCCATGAATCTTGCTACAGATTGTCTGGATTGAAAGTTAAATCAAAAAGATACAATCTCTTTTGTTGTCTTGGGAATGTAGGATGGAAATCTAAAGTATTTTTCCCTTTGTTCTCTATTCAGTTTCCAGATGTCAGGAACCATTTAAAAAATTTAATTCTCATTTTCTGAAGATATATAAACTAATAAGGTAATTTTCTACAAAATATAAAAATATTTCTGAGTTTAGGACCCAATTGCAGTTTGGATTTCAGCCCCTACCTGCCTCTCAGCTGAGACGATTCTTATAAAGCACATTCCCAGATGGATCTGGTGACACCTGGCATAAGGCTAACTTCCTAACACATTCAGATTCTTAGTGGCTATGCTAACATTCATGTAGCCCAGAGTAGAAATCTTGCAGTTAAAACTGTTAGATATGGAGAGAAAAACTTCTTGTAGGATAACATGGACCACTGGCAAGAAAATATACTCATATCTGAGAATATTAAAATCTAGGATGAGATAGTGTTCATATTCTTCCAAATGTTGTATTACTCTATAACTGAATTAAGAAGCATCCTGGCAGTTCTTAATAGTGAGATTTTAAAATGAGAATTATTACTTAATTTTAATTCAATATTATATTCCAAACCATATGACATAATAATTTTAATAGATGGTCTAAGCAAAACAAAGCAACAGCATGAAACATAGCAGAAATAAATTTAGCAGTCATGTTATGGGACATATATTTCACATTCCCTATCTAAGTCACCATCTCTTAAGTGGAATTTAGCATTAAGGCAAAAGTAGACATTCTTTGTATGTTAGCTAAAAGCTAGAATATAACTAAACCACTAGCCTTTTAAAAATTTAAATGAAAGTCTTCTTTGCTATTAACAAATATCCTCTTCATCACACTAAATGAAAAATTACTAGAGAAGGCATGAGTTGAAAGCTCTCATATGTGGATACGGGAAATTAAAATCTTGTTAAGGGGGTGAGTGTGTAGCAATCTGGACAGGGGCTAGAATACTAGAACAGGAATTATACAGTGACCAGAATTGATGAAATCCAGTAAAGATACTTTTTAATGTACTGAAAGAATGTGAATGCCAAAGATGAATTAATGAGAAACTAAGTAAAGAGAAAAGAGAATGTGCTACCAGACATGGTCCCATATTTAACTACCAAATCATCTTTCACTCCTGTTCCAAAGCATAAAGAGAAAGAACAACCTTTACAAAAAGGAGAGGAGTCATGAGGCATCCATCTCTTACCATTACATGCACTAAGAAATTCTATATTCTCACAATTTCTAAATTTTGTTCAGCCCTCCAGTGGTTGCCTACCTAGCTTGACAACTATTTTGCAATTTTTCCTTATCCTATTTGTTTTTCTCACTGATCTCACCATGAGTGAACAAATGATTTTAGCAGAAATAAAAAGAGAAGTGGGATTTGATTATCACCATTAAATGTCATGTTAGTGTACATTCCAGGTAGGGTTAGATGGATGCTAATTATCTTTTAATTAGTATATGTTGGATACAGCAGGACACTGTGGTAGATGCCACAACTCGGTCCTCACACCAGTTCTGCTAATAACTAGCAGTCATTTAATTTCGGATCCTTGGTTTCTTCATCTATAAAATATGGAAATTGAGTTATGAAATATCTTACATTCTTTACAATTTTAAAATTCTGGTTTTGGTTTTTGTCTGTGACATCTCTGAAATAATTTAGACCACCAAGGGATTCTCCTTCATTAAAAGGCTAATGATCAAGTTAAATAGTAGCTAGTAATTTTTTAAAATTAGAAACTAAAGATAATTTTGGGAGACAGTGAGGAAATATTTTAAAAAGAGGTGAGAAAAATAATGAAACATAAAAGAAAAGCTAGAGGTAAAAAATAGCCAAATATCTGAAAATTTGCATTAAAACACTTTGAAAAACTGCCTAGATTATAGAATTCTACTTAATATCAACATTTTAATGAAATTTTAATATTCCAATTGACTTTTTTTTTTTTCTGTTTAGAGGAAGCCTTCAGAAGCAAAGGAATTACTGTCTTCACTAAATAGTGCATCAAGTCCACGTAGGTATTAGCTTATGGAGGGAGCCAACACAAAGCATTAGCAAACACTGAAGCAGTATGTTCCACAAAAGAAATTCAGAATATCTTCAAAAACCACAACAACACCATTTTAAGATACTAATTCTTAATCATTGCCAAGTAACTTAAAATGTTGTACTTGTAAATTTCTTTAAAGGAGCAGTAACTGAAGACATCAACTACCATCAACTTCACTGATTTACTACTGTTACTTTCTTAATTTCCTGATGGGAAATAAAAAGTCCATGCTTTAAATAAATTTATTTAAACAAAATACATTTCCATATTTATTTTAAATACTTAGTCAAAAACGATTCCCTGCTAAGTAATTTTGAGTTGAACTTCGTATAATGGCAAACATGGGCTCCCTGCCTTCAGATGATTTGCTAAGTAGGTTCCCTGGTACTTTTTCGTAAACTCTAAGACAGCCCTGAGTTTTCTCTGCCCCAGTAAGTCACATGGTGGCAAAATTCCAGCATAGTATAAGTAGTTCTGTTTTGTTTTGTTTAGTAATTCTACTAAAGCAGAAGTATTACAAATAATAAATTATTATGGAATGTCTAAATCTAATGAATCTATTGTAGATTTTCATTTAAAAATAAAGCTGATTTTGAAGTCTTCAGACACTGCAATCAGGTTACTATTTTCATATTATCATGGAAATTTAAAATGCAAAGTTAATTGAAAGTACAAAGATGAGAAGCAAGTGGTACACCTAAAATAGTGCACGACACAGCCATGTTTCACTTAACTTTCAAGTCAGAATACAAATTAAGAATTCTCGATATGACATGCCAAATATTTTAGACAGAAGGAAGCACACAACGGAATCTGTACCAATTACACACTTAAACGCTTAGCTCACAAGGCAACAAGTTCATGCTGGAATATTGACAACAAATGATGTTTTCCTTAGTTTAAGGAAATGATGCTGCATATAAATCCCATCACCACTTTATACAGTACTGAAATTTCATAAATAGCATTTTCCAAGCTTTATATTATACCCAAAGCTGAAATATTTGAAAGGAGCAAAGAACACTGACACTTTGAGTCTAAGAAGAATAATTTTTGCTTAAAACACAATTGAAAAGAAATAAATATTACACAATAAGACTCCATCAAAAAGAAACACTATGAAGTTTAACAGCATAGGTATATACAGTAAATTTGCCTTATGCTCTAAACTATATCCTATTTTTGTAAGTGAGTATTTTCTATTTATAATCATGCTGAGATTTAAGGAAAAATTAGAACTTTTAACTATTCGTTATCATTTTTGTTAACCTACCCCTTTCTTTAAAAATATATTTGGAAATTGAAACATAAGAGTATTCAGTTAGGAGTTATAGTTAACCAACACAAAAACAAGAAAAAATATCTCTGTATAGATGGAAGTTGAATGATATTTGTGATATTAAATGAATTAGAATGAAGTTGAATTAATATAAATATGGAATTATATTTGGACACTTTCAAATAGATTATAAAACATAATGTCAAGGAAAATGGAGATTGCAAAACCTCCTCTCTTAAAATTTAAATAAATGTACTCATCCAACTTAAGTAAATAAGAGAGGAAATATTATTTTTGTTTATTTGAAATTATAGTGCAATTATAGTAAATAAATAATTTCATTCTCATATATGCAGGAACAATCTATGAAAAACCAAGGTAACAAGCACAAGCAAGATTACCCCATCACATAAGCTCTTTTTAAAATCCCTTCCCATATGCACTTTAAAAAATTTATTATATTATTTAGATTGTCTAGAATAACCTGATAAAGATACTTTCTAAATATGTTGAAAATTGAGAGTAGTTTTTGAAACCCACCATCATATAGAATTCAAGACATCGTGCTTTGTATTATATTACATCTATTTCTCAATTTACTTCCCCCACACAATCACATCCCTGTTCCCATTCCCAAATTAGGCTGCAAAATCTCTGAGGGCAGACTCTACCTATCTTTTAATTTCCCTTTTGGGCCCATAATTATAGCAGGGAAGATCTGGAGTGTCCATATTTTTAAATTAATGGATAACTGAATGAATGAGAGTGAAAGTAAATGCAGAACAAAGGTGTCAGATTTTTGCTTTTGATGTCTCATCTCAGGCAAATAAAGATGGGTTCAGTAACATATTTCCACAGTAGAATGAAGTATAATCACTAGATTGTGCTCTATATGATAATCCATAGGTATATCCTTTAGAACACTGTTATCCAAGTCATGCTTTGTAGAAACTACAATGTAGGCAAATAAAAGTTTTCCCATATTTTTAATGAAATAGTTCCATGGTCAAAAAAATTGGGAAATCCATTTTAAAGAAATTCAAGCAACATTTCTTTACTGCTAGACTCTGCAAAGCACATGATATGCTAATATGCTCTATCACTTCCTAAGAATCTACCAAAGAACACTTTTGGTCTTGGATCATCTCAGAAAAGGGTTCTAAGAAACTGAGTTTAGGAAATATTTTAGTAAAATAAAAGATACCATGATAAATCTTCCTTCAACAAAGCAGAATTGAAGATTTTACGGGAATTCCTTATTTTATTCAGAATTCATCACTTCTGTCTGCACAGCAAGTAGAATAAAGGCAAAATTATCATGAGACTTCTTCAGTACCCACTGCCCATTTTGAAAGGGTAGAGAAAGATTGTCTCCTCACAGTTACTGATATCCTCTGTCAGGTATGGCTATTATACTTCATTTAATAAGAGTTTTCTTTATTTCCCCCCAAAATATCTCCTAGTAGCCTCTGCCTTTTCTGTTCTTTTCTTTCTAAATGTATATGTGCAAAATAGTAGGGATCACTGAAATTCATCCTAAAGACATCTCTGACAATGATTTTTATGACTGATTAACCTCTGAAAGTATTCAGAAAATATTAATACTCATCTAACAAATAGGGTGACTAGGGAATTTCTATGAGGAAAATGTTGGTGGATATTGTCCTGAGAGTTCATACAGGTCCACTATGATTCTGCAAAATAACTTAATTTGTCTTCTGTTTGACTAAACCATAAATATCATCATGAAAAATGTTTCTGCATAGGGAGAAAAATACTATGGGAATTAAAGGAAAAGTAGGAAGCTAGCTAACTTTACAGTGTGGATTATCACAAGATTTGGACCTAGTGCCAGTTCTATCACTAGCTATGTGACTTTGGGACATTTCTCAGTGTTTCAAGATGTCAGGTGTCTCATTTGTAAATATGAGAAAGTAACACCCTTAGTGATTTTCAAACTGTTTGCCTCAGGAGCTGCTGTGGCAGTGAACTATGAAGAGTAGAACATGGGAGGAGAAATCAAGTAAGTGATCTGACCTCACTTCCATCTTCCAATAAGCAGCTCCACTTTTACATGTTTTGTATGCTAAGGTTCAGAGTAATATTTAATTTTTTTAAAGATCTTGTTCAATTTTTTTTAAATAGAGACAACCATAGATTATATGATCTAAAGCTTTGTTTAGATATAACATGTTCCAGTTCACATTTTTTATGAACATGTTTTCATCTCAGGAAAATAAATGGGCTTTTACATTTTCTTTTCAATTCATTCATGTGCTCCTGATTCAAGTAAAGGAAAACCTAATAACTTTTATTATTTTATATAGCTTATTTTACACTTTTGCAATATCTTCCTTAAATAAAGAGATGAATAGATGTGTTGCTTCTCAAAAAAAATAATAATAATAAGGACAACATGGGGAGTGGATGAAGTCAACTCCCTCTCATGCTTGACTTTAGAGTTATCTTTTTCATGGTGCCTTTGGGCACTTGAATACTGTACTGTATTATCTCTGAGGTAGAACAACGACAACACAAAGGCAAAAAAATCACATGAAAAGGAAAAATGAGAAAGAAAGCTGTAAGAGATTTCTTTTTAACATGATTCTCATCATCAGGCTTTGCAGTCTTCTTTGACACAAAGTTGAGAAATAGTCTTCTTAATCCGAAGGGCGGTTAGGCGGGCTGCCCCATTGGCATACCAACACTCACGCATTATTCTCCCCATGACTCGGAGTGCCTTTAAAAGAGGAAGATATCAAAGACTTTAGCACAAAACACAGTGCAAGAGAAGCAAAACCACAAACCCAGGAATTGATACAAAGCTCTGATATAAAAATAGTCAACTTAAAACAATATGAGAATATCAAGGCCAAACCCCTTCAAAAATCCTGTAAAGGACAACTCCCCTCAGACAGCCACCAGGGCTTCTCCTCCCAGCTCTCTGACAGACCAGAGCATCTCGCCTCAGACTGAGACCAGGGTGTCTCCTCTCAGACACAGACCAGGGCTTATCCTCTCAAAAAGAGATGAGGACGTTTGTCCTCAAACCAAAACCAGGGCAACGACTCTCCTAAAAAGACCAGGGTTCTCGCCTCTGACAGAGAAGAAAACCCCTTCCCTTAGACAGAGACAGGGCAGCTCATCTCAGCCAGACCACGTGTCACCCCTCAGACAGGGTGTTTCCCCTCAGACTGTGATTAGGACCACTTGCAGAAAGAGAACAGGGCATCTCCACTCAGACTGAGACCAGGGTTCTCTCAGCAAAAGACCAGAGCTTCACCTCTCAGTGACCAGGGCAAATTCTCTCAGAGAAGGCCAGAGCATCTCCGCTAACACAGAGAAAAGGGTTCTCCCACCCCTGACATAAAAGGGTGTCTTCCTTCAGATAGACACCACGCCATCTCCTATCAGATAGAGACCAAGGCAATTTCTCTCAGAGGACTAGTGATTCTCCCCTCAGACAGTAGCACGTCTCCTCTGAGACTGAGACCAAGGCTTCTACAGAGACTAGGGTGTGGCCCCTCAGAAAGAGCCCGGGACAAATTTTCTCAGAAAACAACAAGGGATCCCCCTCAAATGGAGACCAGGGTGACTTCTCTCAGAAAATTACCAGAGCATCTATGCTCAAAGGGGCCAGAACATTTCCACTCAGACTCAGATCAGGGCTTCTCTCAAAGACCACAGTGTCTCTCTGCAGAATGAGACCAGAGCAACTTCTCTCAGAAGAACGCCAGAGACTCACCCCCTCAGACATAGAACAGAGATCTCCGCTCTGACAGAGAAATGGATGTCTTCCCTCAGACAGAAAACAGGGCGTCCCTTCTCAGACAGGGACCAGGGCGACTTCTCTGAGAAAAAGACCAGGGATTCTTCCCTAAGACTGAGATCAGAGCTTCTCCTATCAGACAGAGATGAGGCTGGGTCCCCTCAGTTGGAGACCTGGGAGTCTCCTATGAGAAAGATGCCAGGGAGACAGACTTCTCCCAGAAAAAGACCAGGGTCTCCCCTAAGACTGAGATGAGGGCTTCTCCTCCGACAGAGAAACAGCTCTCTCCTCTCAGACTGAGACGAGAGCTTATCTTCTGACAGAGAAATTCTATATTCTCACAATTTTTAAAAGGAAAGGGCATCTTCCTTTAAAGAGAGACCAGGGCATCTCTT